CTGCCGGAACTACTTTTATGTGTTTTTCCCAGTCAAACGTAAAGAATTAAGACTTGCTCCAGAAGTAAAAATATAATGGGAAACACTGCGAACATTTTAACATCACATGGAAACGATTGGAAAAAGATGAAACATTTCTGTTTAACATTTGCTGTTGTCTGTCATGTTTCTGACGCTTCTCAGATCTCTGCATGGGAATGATATCTCTGAGCTGCCGGACGGGATCTTCTCTGACGCTCAGTCACTGTCACATCTGTGAGTACAGCGAACACATCTTTCTGTGTTTGCATAGGAATAAGATTTATTGATCTGAATTGGCTTAATTCATGTGTTTATGTAGTTGCTAGGGTATCTAAATGGTTGCTCCAGTTTAATAAGTGAAAACAACAGAGATTTGATCATCTTGAATGAAAATAGCTCGAACCCAGTTATCTGCAATGTTCCAGGACTGAGATATGACGGGTTAATGTTGTTATATGGTTGCTAGGGTGCTATAAGTGGTTGCTAGAGAGTGGTTTTAAGTTTGTTATATCTCTATATAATACCTGCTTGATAGTCCGAGTAAAACCAGCCCACCCACAATACTCTGTGACTGTCTAAACGAGGGTGTCCAAACTCCATCCTGGAGGGCCGGTGTCCTGGAGAATATATCTCCAACCCTAATCAAACACACCTGAACCAGCTAATCAAGCTCGCACTAGATATACTAGAAACTTCCAGGCAGGTGTGTTGAAGCAAGTTGGAGCTGAACTCAGCAGGACACCGGCCCTGCAGGACTGAGTTTGGACACCCCTGCTCTAAACCAGAGATCTGGATTCACACACATAGTGTGTGCCAGTGTTAAGTCAGCTGGGATTTTTGTGATTTGTTCATGCCCCTTATTGGGTCAGTTTCCCCCCGACCTCTTAGAAAAGTCAGAGTATATTTCTATCTAAGAAACTGGCTTCTTATTCATCAGTCTGCGACATATCATGCAGGATGAGTTAGATATTTAGTATAAGAGGCATAGCGCCATCTAGTGCTGAAGATGGAGGAGTACAGTCAACACATCAGTCTGTCTGAACACTTTCTCTGACATATTAAAGGGATAGTTCAACTAAAAATGTTCATTTACTCACTATTTACTCCTTATCAAGAGCTTCAACGCTGTCTTAAAAGGTATTAAAAGATGATAAATTAATTTAGAGAAACTTAGGCCCTTTAAAATTATTAAGAATCTTAAATGCTATTTTAATAAGTGTGTTGCAGATTTTTGTGGATCGTGATGTCAGTGCAGTTGTTGCCTCTAACTTTATTTCACTTCAGAATAGTTCAGCCTGTGATGCAATTTGTAGAATTGTAATTATATATGTTGCATATAAAACACATATATTTCCTAAATGTGAAATCCAGATGTGAACTGGTGTGTCATTTATTCAGTTTACATATATTTCAGATTCTATATAGAGCAAGACAATATTTGGCTGAGATGCACCTATCTGTGGGCTCCAAAAATACTAAATACTGAGAAAATCACCTTTAAAGTTGAAGAAATGAAGCTGTCAGCACTGCAGAGTACTGATCAGAGATATAGTTGTGATATATTTACACTAGGAAATGTTCTGGATAACATGAGCTGGATATCCACATGCTTGTTGTAGTCATATAGTAATCATGGATGTGTGTGTTTGCTCAGGGCGATCGGGGCCAATCCTCTGCACTGTGACTGCGGGCTCCGCTGGCTCTCAGACTGGGTGAAGACCGGCTATAAGGAGCCCGGCATCGCCCGCTGCGCCAGCCCACACGGCATGGAGGGAAAACTGCTGCTCACCACGCCTGCAAAGAGGTTCGAGTGCCAAGGTAAACCCATCAGAGAGAGCAGCGGAGACTCATCCAGTCAGCTGGAGATGCTTTTCTTATTGCATATTTATGTCTGGCTCACATCTCTTCAGCTATTCCAGAACAAAAACTGTTCCTCATAGTTTACTCATACATATTAGTGCTGTCAAATGATTATTGCAATGTTTGTGTTTACATAATGCGTGTGTGTGTGTGTGTGTAATCTCTGTGTATATACGTATATTGCATATATATATGTGTGTACTTAAAAAATGTAACATACAAAAAACAAAAGCTTAAAATGAACATACATATTCATATCTATATATATAGTTTGTATCAGATATTAATATTCGATTTATAAATATAAGTAAACATTTTCTGTAATATATACATGTGTGTATATAGATATATAAGTACATATGTGCATATATATATATATATATATATATAAGCACGATTTATCTTTTGACCACACTAATATATATATTTTGTATGTATGTATGTGTGTGTGTGTGTGTGTGTGTGTGTGTGTGTGTGTGTGTGTGTGTGTGTGTGTGTGTGTGTAACTGTGCATGTGGATATGTATGTGTGTTTGTGTATATGTGTGTGTGTGTGTGCATGTGTCTGTGTTTGCATATGTGTGTTTGTGTGTGCATGCCTGTGTATGTGTGTGTATGTGTGTGTGTGTGTGTAACTGTGCATATGGATATGTGTGTGTGTGCATGTGTCTGTTTGCATATGTGTGTGTTTGTGCGTGCATGCCTGCGTGTGTGTGTGTGTGTGTGTGTGTGTGTGTGTGTGTGTAACTGTGCATGTGGATATGTATGTATGCATGTATGTGTGTATGTGTGTTTGTGTGCATGTGTAACTGTGTGCATCTGTGCATGTGTGTAACTGTGTGTGTGTGCACATATGGGCGCATGTGTCTGTGTATGCATATGTGTGTGTGTGTGCGTGCGTGCCTGTGTATGTGTGTGTGTGTGTGTGTGTATGTGTGCATGTGGATATGTGTGTGTATATGTGTGTGTGTGTGTGCATGTGTCTGTGTTTGCATATGTGTGTGTTTGTGCGTGCATGCCTGTGTGTGTGTGTGTGTGTGTGTGTGTGTGCGTGTGTATCTGTGCATGTGGACATGTATGTATGCATGTATGTGTGTGTGTGTGTGTGTGTGTGTGTATGTGTATGTGTGTTTGTGTGTGTGTGTGCAAATGGGTGCATGTGTGTGTGTGCATGTTTCTGTGTATGCATATGTGTGTGCGTGTGCGTGCGTGCCTGTGTATGTGTGTGTGTGTGTGTGTGTGTGTGTAACTGTGCATGTGGATATGTGTGTGTATATGTGTGTGTGTGTGTGCATGTGTCTGTGTTTGCATATGTGTGTGTTTGTGCGTGCATGCCTGTGTGTGTGTGTGTGTGTGTGTGTGTGTGTGTGTGTGTGTGTGTGTGTGTGTGTGTGCGTGTGTATCTGTGCATGTGGACATGTATGTATGCATGTATGTGTGTGTGTGTGTGTGTGTGTCTGTGTGTGTGTTTGTGTGCATGTGTAACTGTGTGCATCTGTGCATGTGTGTAACTGTGTGTGTGCGCATGTTTCTGTGTATGCATATGTGTGTGCGTGTTCAGGTGAGGTGGACTCTGCTATCCTAGCGAAGTGTAACCCGTGTGCATCAGGGCCGTGTCTGCATCAGGGTGTGTGTGAGGCGGATCAGACAGACGGCTACAGGTGCAGGTGTGCAGACGGATTCAAGGTGAGCGCAGTCAACACACACCTGATGGAGAATCACAGTTATAACCAAACTCTGAGAACGTTCAGCTTTAAATCTCCTGAAGTCAGAGTCAAAAGCAGGACTACACAGACAGAACAGCAGCAATATGCTGATCACCATCTCTCTCTGTCTGTGTCCCAATAATCTGCTTCAGTTCTGGGAAATCATCTTGCTTTTGTCTTTTTTCTTCCCCCATTGTCAGATTATTTTGCTTGGTTTTAGTGGAAACTCCTTTAATTTTGACTCATTATTTCTGAAAACAGGACTATATGTTTTGGTGGTCTAGAAAAAGCTTCTTGATTTAAGAGTTTGTAGATATTTGGACTAGAAATGAGACAGAAACTCTCAATAAGCAAAGCATATTAGCGGTGTACTCAGACATGAAGATGTTTCGTTGAGTTCTGCAGTGCACTCATCTCATTTGCTGAACAGGGTAAGAACTGTGAGACGGTGGTGAACGCGTGTGTCAGTGAGCCGTGTAAGAACGGAGGAACGTGTCACGTGTCCACAGACGAGGATGAAGGATACAGGTGAGGGCGTCTCAGCATCATCATGCTCTAATGTGTGAATCAGCTGCAAACTATTAGTGCACAAGGGGCCGAACACACAGAACCTGCTTTAAAAGTTGCTGAATGCTCATAAATATACTCTCATTTCAGTGTAATAAGCAAGTAACCATGCTGCTGTACCATGCATGTCTTAAATCTCACATACCTCACATCTTTCTGAGCTAAACTATGGTCTGGAGTCATTGTGAAAGTGTTAATGCCCTCACACACTGCATCAACATCACAACCCCTATCTAACGCAGTGCATTTGTGTTTCCTCAGCTGTTCGTGTGCTGCTGGTTTTGAAGGTCCCTCATGTGAGGTGGACACTGACGAGTGTAGAGATAATGACTGTCAGAACGGAGCCACCTGCATTGACGGCATCAACAATTACACATGTCTGTGCGCCCCGTTCTACACAGGTACATGCATGAACGCCTGATTAAAGGAGAGTTCACACAAAAATGAAGATTTCTCAGGGCGTCCGAACTGAGCTGAGTCTGTTGTTCTTGTATGGAATAAATCGCTGTCATACATATTGTGTGCATAAATAAAATTCATGCATCTGTAATTATGAAAACGTAAAGGGAAATAGAGCATACTCATAATTTTATGAGGGAACAATTCCAAAATCTGCTATTAGAACAGACACAGATGCGACACTTTATTTGTCTGTGAATGGTGACAGGTTTCTTAGATAATAAATAACACATACAAACCAGTCTGAATCAATAGCCGTGGCTCCTGATGACACACTGAGCTCTTAACACGGCTCTGTATAAGAAATTGAACATCATTTACAACATTATTAGCTTTTGTATACTTACAATATTAAAGCAACAGGGCTACAATCAGACTACATTCACACATGCACTGACATCTGTTTGACCAGGCTGTGGAGCTAATACTATTGCAAATTATGTTCAGTTTCTTACACGGAGCCTTGTTAAGACCCCAGAGTGTCATCAAATCAATATGTATGGCTCCTGAACTCATTGGTATGTTTATTTTTACTGTGTGTGTAGGGGAAATGTGTGAGGATTTGGAGGACATGTGTTCATCTGCACGCAGCCCATGTAAACAGCAGTCCACCTGCTTCATCACAGTCACTGGACCAAAGTAAACACTCTTCTGTCAGACATATTATTATTATTATTATTATTATTATTATTAATATTATTAATAATATTATTGTTATTGTCATCATTATTATTGTTATTATTATTATTGTTATTATTATTATTATTATTGTTGTTGTTGTTGTTGTTGTTGTTGTTGTTGTTATTATTATTATTATTGTTGTTATTGTTATTATTATTATTATTGTTATTTTTGTTGTTGTTATTGTTGTTATTATTACTATTATTATTTTTATTATTATTTTTATTATTGTTGTTGTTATTATTATTTCTATTATTATTAATAATAATAATAATAATATTATTATTATTATTATTATTATTATTGTTATCATTATTATTATTATTATTATTATGTATTGTTGTTATCATTGTTGTTGTTGTTATTATTATTATTGTTAATATTATTGTTATTACTATTATTATTGTTATTTTTATTATTATTATTATTGTTGTTGTTGTTGTTATCATTGTTGTTGTTATTATTATTATTATTATTTTTTATTAATATTATTATTATAGTTGTTATTGTTATTATTATTATTATTAATATTAATATTATTGTTATTACTATTATTATTATTATTGTTATCATTATTATTATTATTATTACTATTATTATTTTTAATATTATTTTTATTAATATTATTATTATTGTTGTTATTGTTATTATTATTATTATTATTATTATTATTATTATTATTATTATTATTATGTGTTTATGAAGAGCCTACTTCTAATTTAGCACAAAACACTTGAACTAGGAGTTTACTAACTGCTTTAATTTTAAAAAATTTAATTAATAAATGCTTTAATTTAAGAATTACACTGGTAATAAGACAGAAACTCTTCAGAAAAAGATTTTCTTTTTAATTTAAAGGAGAAATTACAATTTTCTTTGATTGTTTTTCTTTTTCAACAACAATGTAATAATAAGCATGTGTGTGTGTGTCTGTCTGCCTCTCTCTCTCTCTCTGTCTGTGTATGCGTGTGTGTGTGCAGGTGTATCTGCGCTGCTGGTTATGTGGGTGAGGACTGCAGTGTGAATTATGATGACTGTAAGGATCACCGCTGTCAGAACGGAGCTCAGTGTGTGGACGAGCTTAACGGATACTCCTGCGTCTGCCAGAAGGGATACAGGTCTGTTCTGCACAGCAAATTAATATCAAACAACACAGAATATAATACAAGAAAACACTGAAGGTAGAGTCAAAAACCTTTAACCATGCACTTCAGCAGTTTCCTAACAGTGATGTTGTGGTGATTCTACAGTTGCTATGGAAACTTAACTACAGTAATTGATGTTGTGGTGATTCTACAGTTGCTATGGAAACTTAACTACAGTAATTGATGTTGTGGTGATTCTACAGTCGCTATGGAAACTTAACTACAGTAATTGATGTTGTGGTGATTCTACAGTCGCTATGGAAACTTAACTACAGTAAATGATGTTGTGGTGATTCTACAGTTGCTATGGAAACTTAACTACAGTAATTGATGTTGTAGTAATTCAACCAGTTGCTATGGCAACGCAACGACTTCAATAGTAATAATAAGCCAGTGTTTATAACCGTGACCTAAACTGAAGTGATACCCGGATCTCTGTGTGAGTGAGCTTTGAGGTGATCTGCGGTTGTTTTTCAGTGGTCAGCTTTGTGAAGTGGCGCCTCCTCCTCGTTCTCCGTGTGAGCGGGCCGACTGCCAGAACAACGCCCCATGTGTGGAGCGCGCTGGGCACCCGCTGTGCCAGTGTCTGGAGGGCTTCGGTGGGCCGCGCTGTGAAAAGCTGGTCAGCGTCAACTTTGTGGACCGAGACTCGTATCTGCTGCTGAGCGACCTGAAGAACTGGCCGCAGGCTAACATCACGCTACAGGTATTCAACTAACAACTCCATCTCTGCTTTTACAGTAGACGTCCAAACATTTTCAATGGGGTATTTGCACAGGGACTTTTAATTTGTACTTATAAACATATTACTGTATAATAATAGGCAAGGCATCACGTTTCATCAGTTGGCAATTCTGTGTGGAGTTTGCATGTTCTCCCTGTGTTGGTGTGGGTTTTCTCTGGGTGCTCCGGTTTCCCCCACAGTCCAAACACATACAGGTGAATTGGGTACGCTAAAATTGTCCATAGTGTATGAGTGTGAATGAATGTGTAGGGATATTTCCCAGTGATGGGTTGCAGCTAGGAACGGCATCTGCAATGTAAAAAATATGCTGGATAAGTTGGCGGTTCATTCTGAATGAATGAATAAACTAGTTATTAGGCTATATACATAGGGACTTTTAATTTGTACATAAAAATATATTACCACAAATTAATAGGCTACATGCATAGGGACTTTTAATTTGTACTTTAAAACACATTGCTACATATTAATAGGCTGTATGCATAGGGACTTTTAATTTGTACGTAAAAATATGTTACTCCATATTAATAGGCTATTTGCATAGGGACTTTTAATTTGTACTTAAAAATATGTTACTCCATATTAATAGGCTATTTGCATAGGGACTTTTAATTTGTACCTTGTAAACACATTGCTACATATTAATAGGCTGTATGCATAGGGACTTTTAATTTGTACGTAAAAATATGTTACTCCATATTAATAGGCTACATGCATAGGGACTTTTAATTTGTACTTAAATTATATTGCAGCATATTAATAGGGTATATGCTAAGGGACTTTTAATTTGTACTTACAAACACACTACTGCATATTAATAGGCTAAACGCACAAAAAACGGACTTTTATTTTGTAAAATGGGTTTCTTGTGTTCTGTTGATCTGCTCTTCAGGTGTCCACAGCTGAAGATAATGGCATTCTTCTGTACAATGGAGACAACGATCATATTGCAGTGGAGATTCATGAAGGTCATGTTAAAGTCAGCTACGACCCCGGCAGCCAACAAAGCCACGCCATCTACAGGTGAACACTGAACACTGCTGTCTATAATGAGCACCTATTCACTATTGAGCTGTGTGATTAGAGATCATGAGTTTTTCTGTTCAGCATTTCCCCCTCACACCTGTAGAATCTCCGTATATATAATCTGACGGTCCTCTGCTGTGTGTTTTGTGCGCAGCACTGAGACGGTCAATGATGGTCAGTTCCACACCGTAGAGCTGGTGACCTTTGACCAGATGGTGAATCTGTCTATAGACGGCGGCAGCCCCACGACCATGGACAGCTTCGGGAAGGTGCAGCCGCTGAGGGGAGAAGCTCCGCTGTATGTAGGAGGTAAGAGGGAACAACACATCTCTGCATCTGTTTATATACAACACATACTTTACAGTGAGCGTGCATCAGTCAATGCATTAGTGAACAGTGAACAGCACATCTGTTAGAGGTGAGATCAGTCCATGGTGTCTCCAGAATGTGTCTGTAAAGTTTCAGCTTAAAATATCCATCAGATCTTTTACTTTACATGCAGAACATGCCTATTTCACACGCAATCATTCATTTAATCAGTGTAAATCTACAACTGAGCTCTAAATAATCCTCCATAAACATGTTCTCTGTGGTTTACACATGTTTAATCAGATTAAATCCACAATTCAGCTGTAAATAATCCAAATAATAAGTCATCTAAATTGTAAATGATAATCTGAGTGAAGTGTTGTGTGTGTGTGTTCAGGCATGCCGGTGAGCGTTCACCCCACAGCGCCGCGGGTCTGGCAGATCCAGAACAGCTCCAGCTTCCACGGCTGCATCCAGAATCTGTACATCAACAATGAGCTGCAGGATTTCACCAAGACGCAGATGAAGCCCGGCGTGGTGCCCGGATGTGAGCCCTGCAGGAAGATATACTGCCTGCATGGCATCTGCCAGCCCAACACCGCCACCGGGCCTGTGTGCCACTGCCAGCCGGGCTGGAGCGGGCAGCACTGCGACCAGCCGCTGGCGAACCCCTGCATGGGCAGCAAGTGAGTTCTGCTGTTTACAGCCCCAGTACAGTGTCACATTACACATTATTAGTTAGACTCAAGCAGAATCTAGTGTCATCCATGATATTCTGAGTGAGTGATAACACTTGAAGGGGCGACTGTCATGAAGTCTTTATAATCATCACATTACACATCATGAATGTGAATGAGACTTTATGCATGGTTATAACAACTCTTATAAGTGTCGTTCACTCAGTTATGACATTTTTAAATGCAAATATGACATTGTTTGTCATCACAACGTGACATTACCAAGACAACATGACTTGACTCACATGAATGATTAACCCTTTATAATCATGACATGAGATTTTATCAAGCGGCAACCTCCCGCTCTCCCTCGTGAAGCTAATACGGAGGTAACAGACTGCAATTCATCGTAATTCTGCTAATCCTGGTTCCATATAGAGCAGATTTCTATTGATCCCAGTGTTAAAATAGCCAATTTTACAGCATAAAAAAGGTGCTTACAGCCTGGTACAAAGAACCATTTTGGTGCATACAGCTAATATTACCCTGAATTTTTTTTATAACTCATCCGTTTCCTTTATGTTAGGGTATATTAGGTTTGCATAATTAAGGGCGTGGCCACTTGAGTGACAGCTAGATCTCGCTGGTCGCCGTCTCCTCAGCTGATTCCGGCTGATTAGCTGCTGAACTCAGCATATTCATCCTATTTCTGTGTTGTTTTATGCGACTTTACACAGTCTGTCGTCTTTTGTAATTATTTCCCACAATTATCAGATGATATGGCATGCTGAGTGCACTTAATTGTGCTCACAAACCATTCACATGGCCTCCATTTCCCAGCTGAATAAAGTTATATACTTATACACCATCTCTATACATGTATTTGCTTTATTTAAGATCATTCATCATTTTATAATGTTCTTTAGAGCTGTAATGCTCTCCAGAATCTGCCAGATTGATCAGCTGTAGGCTCTGGAACAGTCATACAGTGTTATGCTGGAGTTCATCAATAGTCTTGCATTTACTAACACACACTATATCTGAAGTGTTTGGAAGTCATTCACACTTTCCTCCTGTTGAAAATCATCATAAGAGCACTGTTTAGTGGCTCAGTGTGATACAGCAGTGTTTTTAAAAGATTAAACACTTTATTAATATAGTGTACAGCCAAGCACATGTGGTCAGAACACAAACGAGTCGCAGGTAATGAAGTATTCAGCGTTTCTCTCAAAGGAAAGCCTAAGCAGAATACCAGCAGGCGTCTGTAGCTCCGCCCACGCTCCGCCTCTTTGCCCTTATTTGGTGTGCCCTGGTTGGTGCGATGACGCATGAACAAAAAAGGCAACGGTTGGCCACACCTACTGGTAGCTTCTTTTGGGTTCTTCAGAAACATATGGGTGACGTCACGGATACTGCGTCCATATCTTTTACAGTCTATGGTATTTATGCATGCTTATGACATCTGTTATTAAGTGTTATTCGCTCAGTTTAGCCATTGTATCATCTTTGTGTTCATAATGACATAACTGAGCTAATGACACTTGACACACATGAATGTGAATAAGATTTTATGCATGCTTAAAGTTAAATGTCATTAGCTCAAACATGCTAAAATGGCAAAACTGAGCCAATAACACTTAATAACAGACGTCATAAGCATGCATAAAAACTCATGTCATGATTATAAAGGATTCATGTGATTCATGTTGTCTTAGTAATGTCAAGTTGTCATAACAGTGTCATCTTTGCATGTAAAAATGTCATAACTGAGCGGTTGTTATAAGCATGCATGAAATCTTATTCACATTCATAACTGATGTCATGGTTATAAATGCTTCACGACAGCCTTATGAACACCCCTTCAGTTAAAGTGTTAGCACTGTAGTTTCAGTGGATTAATTGTAATAAGATATGAGTCGTACACTTTTTGCCATGTAATGTTGTTTTTCCTTGTGGCTGCTTAAATCAGTGGCCATCAGACTGAGCTGCCGCTGGTGTTCTCCACAGGTGTGTTCACGGCAGGTGTATACCGATGGACATGCAGTCGTACCGCTGTGAGTGCCAGGAGGGTTTTCATGGTGCGCTGTGCAACCAACATGAAGAGCTGTTCAACCCGTGCCGAAAACTGCAGTGCAAACACGGCCACTGCCAGATCTCTGACACAGGAGACGCGTACTGCCACTGCGAGCCGGGCTACAGCGGAGACCTGTGTGACCGCGGTGAGAAAACTACACTGAACACATCACCTACAGTGCAGAGATTACATGTGTTGAAGCTTATTAGATGTATTAGCTCATTCAATCCACCAGTCCCGCATGTGTTTGGACTGTGGGGGAAACCGGAGCACCCGGAGGAAACCCACGCCAACACGGGGAGAACATGCAAACTCCACACAGAAACACCAACTAACCCAGCCGAGGCTCCATGCTGCCTACAGCATTGGATGTAGGTAATTGTGATGTTGTTTTCAGTCAAAACTCATTTCACACAGCATGATTTGAATCACCGACAGCTCTAGATATTCAGCACGCCAAATATCTCACAGGCATCGACGACTCATCGGCGATTCTCTCAGATCGCGTCTTTCAATAGTTCACATTGTGTGACTGTCACTCACGTGCACGAGCACCGATTTGCCTGTGATTTCATGCATTTGTCTGCGATTTCTCAAAACCTGTCGGCGAGTCAAAATCGGGGATAAAATCATGCAGTCTGAACTCGGCATTACACATACACTTTGCACAATAAAATAAAATATGAACCCTTTAATTTCCTCAACAACAAAAAATATTAGAATTGCATTTCTTAACTCCTAATATCGCTGGTTAACACACTCAATGCTTTTTTTTTCAACACATCCCATAATTTCTAAAATATCAACCTTCACCAATATGTTGGTTTGTGGTTTAAGTACCAGAATTAATACGAAAAGTCTGAAAAAATGAAGTGGAGGACCAATTTATTTAAAAAATATTCAAAATAAAACTTTTTTGAATACTAAATCATCTTTATTTTTTGAAGTATGCCATAAAATAATACTCATTTAAAATGTTTTTTTGTTTTTTTTTTGCAATAAAACCAAAATTAAGTGTAGTATTGCAACAGGATTATTTGTTTGTTTTCTTTGTAAACCAACAATGCTGTGCGTAAACTATTATTTAAAACAGGTAAATCATGGTCAACTATTTAGTAGAGCAGGCAGTCAATGAATTTCAGAAAATGTCCACTTCGTTCAGGCGATCTCGGACCGTTTGTTTTGCCGTGGATCTGAATGTAACTGTGGTGTTCACATATGCCCAAATGAATCCAGCTAAGGGCAAACGCGCCAGCCTCCCAAACATATGTCTAAGTGTGAAAGCACCCTTATTCAGCAAGTCTTGATAGTGTGCGGGATTGTTTGTTCCCCATTGCACAAAATTCTACACAGAAATAGCAAAAAACGTGAGAAGGGTAAAAACAGAGATGGGAGCCAGCTCCAAACGTGTGGAACTTGAGCTCCACGTGGGCTGTACAAACCTGGAGTTTCATTTATTTAATGTCTTGTACATGACACGGAGTCCAACCTATTTTATTAACATCTACACCTACCCCAACCCTAAACCCAGCCTCTTAACCCACTTGGAGGATCTCCAGGCTGCAGCGATGCCTCCTTAAAAAATGTCTGCAGATTCCGTCCTGCACTGCTTCATCATCTCTGTAACCTGTTTTGTGTTGTAGAGTCGGAGTGCCGCGGGGAGCCGGTGCGGGACTTCTACCAGGTGCAGCGTGGTTACTCCATCTGCCAGACCACACGCATGGTGTCGTGGGTGGAGTGCAGCGGTGTGTGTGAGTCTGGCTCCTGCTGCGCCAGCCAGCGGATGAAGCGCCGGAAATACAGCTTCGAGTGCAGCGACGGCACGTCCTTCAGCGAGGAGGTGGAGAAAACCATCAAGTGTGGCTGCGTGGGGTGCATGTAGGACACGACCAGCAGCACACCGTCATCACAGCCGCAAAACACACCATCCCCCATTGGGTATTCAGAGACGACAACCCGTAACAACACCCGGATAAATTCAGCCTCTTTTTGTGCTTGCGCTCGTTTCAGCAGGACAGAAAAGTCACGTCTTTCTGTTGTTTTTTTGACTCTCTCTGGACGTGTATCTGAGCAGATAATGGCGACGCAAGCACAGAGCTTCCACATTTGCGAGCACAAAACAAGCTAAATGTAATATATATATAGATATATATCTGTGAAAGGGAGCGTGCGATGGATTGACATGCTGTCGAGACAGATATTTTCAGTCATTTTGTGATTATGTGGGGCACACAGGACTCTTCTGCGTGTCCTAAATCCACAGTGCACGTGATTGATAGAAGATGCATCGGATAAAATACACAGTTATCATAGGAGCTGCTTTACAGTATCTCAGCCTTTGGTAGAAAACAAAGTCAAACTAAATCTAATAGATGACTTGGCAGACAAAAATACCATTCAATGCTCCTTAAACAGCTACCAAAGGAGCTTCTTTACAATATCTGGACTTTTGGTAGAAAACGAAAGTCAAACTAAATCCAGTAGATGACATGGCGGACAAAAATACCCATTCGACACTCCTCATATAGTTACCAAAGGAGCTTCTTTACAATATCTCGACTTTTAGTATAAAAACGAAAGTCAAACTGAATGGAATAGACAACAAGGAGGACAAAAATACTATTTCAACGCTCCTTGTATCGTTACCAAAGGAGCTTCGTTACAGTGTCTTGACTTTTAATAGAAAACGAAAGTCAAACTTAATCGAATAGTTGACACGGATGATTAAAAAACCCATTCGATGCTCCTTATGCCGTTAACAAAGGAGCTTCTTTACAATATCTGGACTTTTGTTAGAAAACGAAAGTCAAACTAAATCCAGTAGATGACATGGCGGACAAAAATACCCATGCGACGCTCTATAGTTACCATACGAGCGTCTTTACAATATCTCGACTTTAATAGAAAACAAAAGTCTAACTAAATCAAATAGTTGACACTGAGGATAAAAATACCCATGCGACGCTCCATATATAGTTACCAAAGGAGCTTCTTTACAATATCTGGACTTTCGGTAGAAAACAAAGTCGAACTAAATTTAATAGATGGTTTGGCGGACAAAAATACCCGTTCGACGCTCCTTATATAGTTACCAAAGGAGCTTCTTTACAGTATCTCGACTTATAATTAAAAAAGAAAGTCAAACTAAATCAAATCATCAACACGGAGGATAAAAATACCCATTCAATGCTCTTTATATAGTTACCGAAGGAGCTTTTCTACAATATCTGGACTTTTGGTAGAAAACAAAGTCAAACTAAGTCAAATACCCGACATGGCGGGCAAAAATACAAGTTTGACGCTTCTTATATAATCACCAAAGGAGCTTCTTTACAATATCTTGGTAGAAAACAAGTTAAACTAAATGCAATAGATGATATGGTGGACTAAAATACCCATTCAGCGCTCCTTACATAGTTAACGAAGGAGCTTCTGTACAATATCTCGACTTTTAATATAAAAACGAAAGTCAAACTGAATGGAATAGTTGACACGGAGGATAAAAATGCCCATTCGATGCTCTTTATATAGTTACCAAAGGAGCTTTTTTACAATATCTGGAAAACAAAGTCAAACTAAGTCAAATACACAACCTGGCGGACAAAAAATGACAAGTTTGACACTCCCTATATAGTCACCAAGGGAGCTTCTGTACATTATCTTGGTAGAAAACAAAAGTCAAACTAAATCCAAAAGATAATTTGGAGGATAAACATACCCATTCCACACTCCTTATGCAGTCACCAGAGGAGCTTCTTGACAATTTCTGGACTTTCGGTAGAAAAAGTCAAATGAATCACTTCCACACAGTGTTTTGTCATTCCATTACCTCAAAGGGAAACCCGACAGAATGTAAGTGAGAGCAGAAATCAAGCGCTAGATAGATCTCATCACTGTTTCTAAGATGCATGCTCATCGTCATGTGGTGTCTGGATTGTGGTTAATATTAGCACTGCTGAGCAGAAAATAGAGAAACGCTTTACTTCAAGGGGTGTTCATAGGACTGTCATGAAGCCTTTATATTCATGACATGACATAAGATTTTATGCATGCTTATGGCAACTGTTATTAGGTGTCATTCGCTCAGTTAGGTCATTTTAAGATGACATTGTTTGTTATGACAGCTTGATGTAGACAAACACATCACAACCTGTTTCATGACAACTTGACATTACCAAGACAACGAAATCTGTCATAAACATGACTGTCATGAGGCATTATAAGAGTCATGAATATTTTTCTGAACATGTTTTCACTGTATTTGACATTAAAATGTCTCGTTAAGTGTCATTCCTCTGCCAGATTATTTTTAAGAGCTTCATTAATATTTAATGAGATTTTAATGGCAAATTCAGCTTGTGGCACTGATGCTGAGCTCAAAAAAATATTAAAGATGCTTTTATAAAATGTAAAACATCTATAATGCTTCAGTCATGTTTATGACAGATTTATGAGGTCAAGTTATCATGACAGACAAAAACAGGTTGTGGTGTATTTGTTTACGTCAAGTTGTCAAAACAAACAATTGCTACGTCCCAATTCAGATATGATTGTAAATGAAAAGCTAATTAAAATGAGTAAAATTAGAAAGATATTATAGAAATCAGTGTGTTCCAAACCGTATTATGTTGAAAAGAGTGTGCCAAAGGTTATAAATGTACTATTTCTGGTAGAAATATGCAGTGCATTCTGCACACAAACTACTAATCATCACATTAGGCGCTGGACGTGAATTCGATTAGAACTACAAATGCGGGTAAAAAGTGTAAACAAACTACAAACATGGCGGACGAGCGAGACCAACCGTCAACTAGAGAGGCTTCGGTAAAGTTGTTTGAATGACTATTAATTAATATCTAGCCAACTGGAAAATCTTTAAATCACGTTTTCCGTGTTTTATTCATCTGCAACAACAGTGTGGACTTCTATAAAGACGTGTTTGGTCACTTCTGAACTCTGCGTAATTATCCAAACACCTGAGGAGATTTCTCTGATGACAGACTCGCGAACGGAAAATTAACCTACAATGCGGAACCTACAATAACGAAGGTAATTACACATGAAAGGAATGTGGATGATGTGTGGAGATGATTGACTAAGTTAGTTAAGCAACAGAACGGTCTGTTAATGAGGAAACAGTTTGTCCCAAAGCTATGCGGATTGGGACGCAGCAAATGTCTCTTTGCTTTCAAAATGACACAACTCCCTGCTGAAAAATCCAGCTTAAACCAGCCTAGGCAGGTTGGCTGGTTTTAGCTAGTTGACCAGCCTGGTTTTAGAGGGGTTTTGGCCATTTCCAGACTGGTTTCCAGCCATTTCCAGCCTGGTCTTAGCTGGTCAGGCTGGAAAATGACCAGCTAAAATCAGCTTGACCAGCCTGGTTTAAGCTTGACATAGCTGGCTTTGGCTGCACTCCCAGCCTGGCTAGGCTGGTCAAGCTGGTTTTAGCTGGTCATCTCCCAGCCTGACCAGCTAAGACCAGACTGGAAATGGCTGGAAACCAGTCTGGAAATGACCAAAACTCCTCTAAAACCAGGCTGGTCGATTAGCTAAAAGCAGCCAACCAGCTTAGGCTGGTTTAAACTGGATTTTTCTTTAGGGCTGAGCGAATGACACTTAATAACCTTCATAAGTATTCATAAAACATGATTATAAAAGTTACATGACAGTCTCATGAACACTCCAAGTAAATTGTTTGCTAAAATAGACCATCGCTTATTGAAACACTGCTAACCAATGCAACGCCACTGCAGAGTGTTTATATGTGGGTCAGTGTTGAAGCTGTACTGTATGACTGTACGCTGTTATGACCACAACACTTTATTATACCACTAATCTTAACAATTTCCCAGCTGTTCTCTTTTCGATTGGTACAGTATTACCTCTGCAAGCTTGTGTGTTCGTGAACGTTTGCAGATCGCCATGATCATCGCCGTCCAACATGTGCAGTTTGGCTAATTTTCCTTTGTTTGTGTTTGTTTTTCGCGTTGATTTCCTTTTCCTAACTCCCTAGACCTTCACTTTATACAGAAATGCTTAACAGATTCTAATATATATTTGTATTTCATTTTGGTATAGTATTTTTATATGTTAAAGAATAAATTTGTGTTTTCAGGACTTTACTATCGAGCAGCAGGTGTGGAATTTGGTGTTTCATTCGGTCGTTTGCTTATGAAGGCTACACTGGCCCAAAACATAGATGATTATTAGCTGATATTATTAGCCTTATTGTTATAGGATTGTTTTTTCGTTTTGAATATCGTAGCCTAAATGTTGTCTTCCATGTGAATACCACATTTAATTCCTTCAGAGTTTCTTTGTGCTTGGTTTTGTGCTTATTTATTTTGAAGACCTCTCCGGATAGAACGCTGAATTCTCCTTTATGAGTATGATGATTTTTGTTGAGTTGTGAATAAATTCAGGTCATTGAGATTTAATAGGGAAGTTACCGTCCAGATCTGATCGCTACTAACATTTCAAGCGCAGACCAAAAGAGAAAGTAAAACGCTCACGCTGCCATATTTTTAGTTGCGAGACCATTCAAGAACTTTGCAGTAATGGAACCATACGTTCATTATTTTTGACCACTCGGTTGGTGTTGTCCAGATCGCCGGCCTGTTTTGTTACACTACTGTGGAAACGTATTGCTCTTATTGTACATGGAGGTATTGGGAACGAACGTTATCTTCAATGTTTTCGCAGCGCTTCAGTGCAGACGGATCATCGGAAAGGGTTACGAACTCTTCCTGTAGATTTCATTGGTCCGCTCTAACCTCGTGCCAGACACAACCATCGCATCATGAACTCAAGAATCTTTATTGTGAAAGAAACCGTCGCTGTTGCATATAGAACATGTAAGAGCTCTTGCTGTTTATTCTTCTGATGTTACGTTGATAGTTACGTTGACTAACTGCAGTTACTCCGAATGTAAGTAGCACCACCAAAATGTTTACTGAACTTCCTCCTTTTTCATTCATTAAAATGTGTGATAATTAGCGTCTTCGTCTGCTTTATGCTAAACAGCTTTCAGGAGCAAGCAGGTATATTTGGTTTATTCATGTTCTGCTCCGACACAGATCGTGATTATACGTTTATGTGTGTTTGTGTGTGAACATATATGTGTATGTATCCTTGTAAACATCAAGAGACGGGAGTTCTCTGTAGTCCAACTCCACCCATCACATCCTTAAAGAAGTGAAGCTTGGATAATGTGAGACTCCACCTATTACACCAGAGAGGTGGAGCTAGATGGTTAAACCCTGCCCATTAAATTCGGAGAGGTGGAGCAGGATGTCAGACTCCACCCATAATATCTAGAGAGGCGGGGCTTGATAAAGTCAAACTCCACTAATTACATCCAAAGAGGTAAAGCTAGAGGGTTAAACCCCACCCATTAAAATCAGAGAATCAGAGCAGGATAATGTGAGACTCCACCCATTTTACCCAGAGAGGCGGAACAATATGAGGTCAAAATCCATCCATTGTATCTAGAGAGGCGGGGCTTGACGTCAAACTCCACCCATCACATCTTAAGAGTAGTAGTGGATTAGGTCCAACTCCGATAAATTACAATCAGAGGCGGGCTAGATGTAGTCAAACTCCACCCATTAATTTCATAAAGGCGGAGCTGGATAATGTGAGAGTACACCCAATTTACCGAAAGGCAGAGCTATATGGTCAAACCCCACCCATTAAATTCTGAGAGGCGGAGCAGAATAATGTGAGACTCCACCCTTTTCACCCAGAGGTGGAGCTATCAGAGATTAAACTTCACCCATTCATTTAAAAAAGGTGGTAAAGATGGTCAAACTCCACCTATAAAATTTACAGATGTGGAGCTGGATAAGGTCAAACTCCACCTATTGAATTCAGAGGCGGGGCTGAATGAAGTCAAACTCCACCTAATAAATTCAGAGGCAGAGCTGGATAATTTGAGACTCCACCCATTATACCCAGATAGGTGGAGCTATATGATGTCAAACTCCATCCATTACACCAAGAAATAAGATTGATGGTCAAACCCCACCCATTAAATTCACAGAGGCAGAGCAGGATAATGTGAGACTCCACCCTTTTCACCCAGAGGTGGAACTGTTAGAGGTTAAACTCCACCCATTATTTTAAGAGGCTGGGCTGAATGAAATCAAACTTTACTTTCAACGATTGCTTAAGCTTTGAAAAATCTAAAATGTTTAAAGCATCAACAAACGACAAGAGGCAACACACATGAAGCTCAAACTAAATTCATTCACATTTTCCCCACTTCTACAAACCATATAACCGGAGTAAGGTCTTCAAGACAGGTAAATGATCTAATGCAAAAACCACATTGAAGAGGATTTATTTATCGTCAGTGTGTCTAAACAGGAAAAAACTATGCATTTTTATTCCACCCAAATGATTCACAAACTAGATAAGTTAGAGCAGAAAATGTCATATAAAACCTGTACACTTGCATAGCTTCCATCATAAATACAGCTGTTTTTGAAAGTGTGAGACCATAATGCATACTCAATAATCTACTGAAGAAACCAGCAATAGAAACTACTGCATGTACAAATCATCATCATCATCATCAACATGACTCGGACACACTAGATGAAACCACACATTTAAACTTCAGCGCTCTAAAAAGAAAAAACTAAATCAGGAATACCAGAGGGGGAAACTCATTTAAAAAAAAGAAAGTCGTAAGAATTTTGGGACAAATCGCTCTCTTCATCTATGTGCA